GCTGAATGATGAAAAGCTAATTTTCTTTTGAAGACAGATTCGATGATAATCTGAGACAACAATGTGCAGGGCTGGATGAACACAGCAGGCCAAGCAGCATCATAGGAGCAGAGAGGCTGACGTTTCGGGCCGAGACCCTTCATCAGAAAAGGGGGAGGGGAAGGGGGTTTTGAAATAAATAGGGAGAGAGTGGGAGGCGGATAGAAGAGGGATAGAGGAGAGGATAGGTGGAGAGGAAACAAACAGGTCGAAGAGGCGGGGATGGAGCCAGTAAAGGTGAGTGTAGGTAGGGAGTTAGGAAGGGGATAGGTCAGTCCAGGGAGGACGGACAGGTCAAGGGGGCGGGATGAGGTTGGTCGGTAGGAGATGGAGGTGCGGCTTGAGGTGGGAGGAGGGGATAGGTGGGAGGAAGAACAGGTTAGGGAGGCGGGGACGAGTTGGACTGGTTTTGGGATGCGGTAGTGGGAGGGGAGATTTTGAAACTTGTGAAATCCATATTGATACCATTGGGCTGCAGGGTTCCCAAGCGGAATATGAGTTGCTGTTCCTGCAACCTTCGGGTGGCATCGTTGTGGCACTGCAGGAGGCCCAGGATGGACATGTCGTCTGAGGAATGGGAGGGGGAGTTGAAATGGTTCGCGACTGGGAGGTGCAGTTGTTTGTTGCGAACCGAGCGTAGGTGTTCTGCAAAGCGGTCCCCGAGTCTCCACTTGGTTTCCCCGATGTAGAGGTAGCCACACCAGGTACAGTGGATGCAGTATACCACATTGGCAGATGTGCAGGTGAACATCTGCTTGATGTGGAAAGTCTTCTTGGGACCTGGGATGGGGGTGAGGGAGGAGGTATGGGGGCAGGTGTAGCACTTCCTGCGGTTGCAGGGAAAAGTGCCTGGTGTGGTGGAGCTGGAGGGGAGTGTGGATCGGACAAGGGAGTCACGGAGAGAGTTGTCCCTCCGGAAAGCAGACAAGGGTGGGGAGGGAAAGATGTCTTTGGTGGTGGGGTCGGATTGCAGATGGCGGAAGTGTCGGAGGATGATGCGTTGGATCCGGAGGTTGGTGGGGTGGTACGTGAGGACGAGGGGGATTCTTTTTTGGTTCTTATTGCGTGGACGGGGTGTGAGGGATGAGGTGCGGGAGATGTGGGAGACACGGTTGAGGGCGTTCTCGACCACCGAGGAGGGGAAGTTACGGTCCTTGAAAAACGAGGACAACTGAGATGTACGGGAGTGGAATGCCTCATCCTGGGAGCAGATGCGGCGGAGGCGAAGGAATTGGGAATAGGGGATAGCATTTTTGCAGGAAGGTGGGTGGGAGGAGGAGTATTCTAGGTATCTGTGCAGTTATCGAGGATTGAGAGATTTTAGGCAAACCTACAGAAGCAAAAAAAAACAAATAAAATTCGGCAGATAAATGCTCGAAGGTTAGAGATGGAGACAGGATTCCTGGATAAATGGAAAAGAGAAATTAAAAAAAAAGTTTGGAAGGGTCGAGCGAATTTATGAGTGGGTGAACAGCACGTGTGAGAGAGGTTCGCAGAGTGGGTATCACTTTGTGGGACAAGGTCGGAGAGAAGGTGTGAGGGAGAGGGACAGAATAATGTGTGTGTGAAGGGCAGAGACAGAGAGAGAGAGACGAGGCATGCCAGATGGACTGCAGAGTTGATATCTGATTTGCTGGTTGTGGGACCACTTCGAGCTACAGTGAAAGGGCGAGAGAGCGGACGTGAGGAAATTCGGGTCAGCCATGATCCTGCTGAATGGTGGGGCAGACTTACTGCGCAGAATAGCTGACTCTTGTTTCTTGGTCTTTTGGACATATGGTCTTAGCTCGCTGTACTGCATGCTACTTCCACCATTTGGCATACAGTCGAACTAAGTAGCAATACTACAGCGCATATTGTGTGTGTGTGTGTGTCTGTGTGTGTGTGTGTGTGTGAGAGAGAGAGAGAGAAACAGAGAGAGAGAATATGCCTGTGTGTGTGTGTGTGTGGCATTTCATTAGACTGAAGTGTTGTTTGCTGCGTCTGTTTGCGATGTTCGAATGCTTAAGTTTGTATATTAGTAGAATTCTGCAAAGCATAGCCACAAATAGAACACTTTAATTACAGAATTTTCAGAGTTTTAGAGGGACATTACACGTCAGGCTGCAGTATAATAGCCCTGAGAAACAATGTAACATATTAAATTTTAATTACTGAATGGCCACAAACGAATAAAAGGCAATGCTGAGACAGTACGAGATCTAGTATGGGGGAAGAGATGGGACAACGAATGGACAGCGCACTTGCTGGTTTAATATTGGTTGCAAATGTTATTTGCTAAAAGTGAGATAATTTAAATGATCGAGTTTCACTGTTAAATATATTCAATTCCAACAGGAATTAACTGAGTGTTGCAATACGTTTTGTTTTTGGAAAGAAAGCTAAATTGAAAGCTGTTGCATTTGTTACCTCTGGGAGACCTTCCAAAGGGAATAAATGAATGGTTGAGGAGAATATCACTTCGGAGTATTTTATATTGCCTACAGTACTAAGGGATCAATTACCTTGTAATATAAATGCATTTCCCAATGCAACACGGGCTGAAAATATATTATGCAATTCTTGCTGTTATTGGTGTTCCTGGTAAGTCACTACTCACCTTAGAGTTGTGTAAATATGTGGGGTCCAAATTTTGTGATTTTCTGATCTGACAGGTAATCGTAACTGTCTACAAAGTATACGCGCACGAGACCAACGTTATTACTTCTTTGACGAGAATGAAAGAACATTCAATCCTATTACCGTGTGTTCTTAAGTTTATCTTTTGCTCTTGATGTCTCCTGGATGCCTTATGTTCTGATGTTCATTGTGCTGTTCATAATCAATTGCACAACCAATTGCAGAAATTTCTGTCAGTGAAGACTTTGGTTCACTGCTAGGTTAGAAAACTTAGAAAATATTGGCATTATCTGTCAGAGTGGCATCGGACTGAGTCTCCGTCACAAACTGGAGTAAAATGCCTGATCTCAGTTGCTCATATTTTTTAGGTACGTCTGACAGTGTAGACGCTGGGATCAGGGCTTTTTCGTCAGCTCAGTTCTTAATGGTCTACCCTATATCCTGGATAGTTACACCTGGTCCCAGACTCCTTGATCACGGGAAACATCTCCCCGCATCTAGTCAGTCTAGTCCTGCTCAGAGGCTCCATTTGTGCCAATCTTTCCCAATGAAACAGTCCTGTCATCACCGGTTTCAGCCTGGTGAACTTCCGCTGTACTCCCTCAGTGATAAGTACCTTCTTTCTTAGATCTCGATATTATTGTCCGCTAGAACTTACAAATGTTTCAGCTTCATATTTTAAAGTGCTGTGCTTGCTTCATAGTCATTGAGGATGGAGGATTTTTTTTTTGTGAGTCCACCTCATTTTATATTGTGATTCAAATGTCCACCACAAATCACGAGTGCTGCGGCATGACTGCAGAGTTTCATTCTGCTCTGTTGGTTGCGGAACCTCATAGATGCTTACACAATGCCCTTGACTGCGCCTGAGCGCTGAATCAGATCCTGTCAGGAGTTTTCACTTTTCGTTGTGATCCACGAGTCAGAAACAAACAAAGCAAAAACTGAAATTACTGGAAAAGCTCAGCAGGTTTGGCACCTATGAAGATAAATCAGTTAACGTTTCGTGTCAGGTGACCGTTATTGAGAATTGATGGTAGCTAGGAAGAAAAAACGTATTTTTTTAGTGCAGCGCACAGGGTTGGGGTAGGGGTAAGGAGTAAACGATAGATGGAGATAGAGAGAGAAAAATTTGAAGTGATAACTTTTGATTTTTGTCGATCTGGACAAAGCATGGCACTGGAATTAATTTGGAACAGACTCAGGGAAGAGTCATTCTGTATACAAACTCAAACAGGGGTGTTCATCTCTACAATGTATGACACAGAAATAGTTGGGTCTGATCTTTGTTTATTGCTCCTGTTAAAACCATGAGCCGGAGGAGTGAAATTTGGCCATTTGGCCCATCGAGAATGCTCTGCCCTTCAATGAGATCATGGCTTATCTGATAATCTTCAACTCTACTTTCCTGTCTTTGCTATGTAACCCTTGTTTCCCTGATTAATTAAAATCTGGTCATCCCTGCTGTAAATATACTGAATGACTCAGCCTCGACAGTCTTCTGTAGTAAGGAATTCCACAGATTCACTATACTCTGAGTAAAGAAATTCATCCTTGTATCTGTCTTAAAATGAGTGGGCCCTTGATGGAATTTTACGCACTCTGGTTACAAATATTCGCACAAGGGAAACCAAAGGCAAAGATGGTTTTTGGCGGTAAAACAGTGGCTGTTGTCTACATGGACTTTATTAAGGCATTTGATCAGGTTCGTCCTGGTAGTTTGGTCCAGCAGGTTAAATCACAATCCATTTGACTACGTGGTGGTCAGCAAGTTGGATACAAAATTTTCTTGGTTATAGAAGATAGGGCGTCGTTATGGAGGGATGTATTTCTAATTGGAGGTCGGTGGCCAGTGGTTTTTCACACAGCCAAGTACTGTGAATTCTGTTTATAATTTAAGTAAGTGATTTAGACAATTGTCGATGGTCTGATTAGCAATTTTGCAGATGACACCAAGATTGGTGGCATTGTGGACAGTTAGGAAGGACATGAAATGATGCAGCGTTATGTAGATTAACTGGAACTTTGGGTGGAGAAATGGCAAATCATATTTAGTCCAGATAAATGTAGGGTGATGCATTTTGGGAGGTGTTGTTCTCCAACTTTGTCCTGAGCTTCACTGGAGCACTGCAGTAAGCCTGAGACCAAGATGTTGGCCATGTGACAAGGTGGTATGTTAAAGGTGCAGTCAGAATTGGATACCTGAACAAACCAAACTCCTCCCCCACACCCCCAACCCGACCTTCCAGCTTCAGAAAATCCTGAAGTTCAAAACACTTCCAGTAATGAAAATACTTCTGAGGGTGCATAACTCCGAGGTTTAGATGTGATATTTCGATAGTATGAGATCCGATGATGAAACGCGGCTGGTCAGAGTTAAGCGTATGAAACAGAATAAATCAGTCACGGGCTCAAGCATGGAGTACATTTGTTCATTAATATCTAGCTTTTCTCTTTAATATCTCTTTTCACTCTTACAGTTAACTTCCTGGGAATTGTGATCCTGTCTCGTGGAAAGTGTGGCCTCTCGACTTGCACAGCTCGTTACCTGGTGGCCATGGCAACAGCAGATCTATTGGTCATTGTCACTGAGGTCATATTGTGGCGTATCAATTATTATTATTTCCCAGGGTCATTCCTTGAGCTTACACCTGTGTGCAGTGTTAACGATGTCTTGCTCCGAGCAGCCACAGACTGTTCTGTCTGGTTCACTGTCACTTTCTCCTTTGATCGATTTGTGGCCATTTGCTGTCAGAAGTTAAAAACAAAATACTGCACGAAGAAAACTTCAGCTGCGTTTCTAGCAGCAACCACTATTCTGTCTTGTTTAAAAAACACCCCTCAGTACTTTACATATCAACCATGGGTTATAATCAACAATGTACCAAGGCTCTGTTATCGAAAGCCAGTCTATTATACTGAACCTGGATGGGTAGCATTTTCCTGGCTTGACAGGATCTTAACACCATTGCTTCCATTCTCTTTAATTTTGTTGCTCAATGCTCTGACAGTCAGGCACATTCTAGTCGCCAGTCGTGTCCGCAAAGGACTGAGGGGTCAGAGCACGAGAGAGAGTCCCAGTGATCCGGAAATGGAGAGCCGAAGAAAGTCTGTGATTTTACTCTTCACCATATCTGGCACCTTCATAGTTCTGTGGTTGGTGTATGTTATAGAGTTCATATATTATAACGTAAAAGGAATAAATCCCTGGGAGTACAGTGATTCCGAATACGTATTTCGGGAAGTTGGGTGGATGTTGAGGAATTTAAGTTGCTGCACAAATACATTTATTTATGGTGTGACGCAGTCCAAGTTCAGAGAGCAAGTTTGGTGTGTAGTGAAATATCCAATCACATCAGTTCCTAAATTAATGAATAAAGAAAGTACTTAGTGAAGGTCAGGTGAAAACCATCCAATCCGGGAACTCTGCCCTGTATCTGACACTTGTCCTCAATAAATCAAGAAGCTCCATCCAATGACTATCTGCCACCTCAAATATTCAGGTCCTTTCACACAATTAATAGAAAAATCAACACCCAATCATATTGCTTCATTTAATGCTTAACTGCCCAGGTTCAGTGACAGACACTTGCTTCAGTCAATACCGCTACCCGAGCCCTGTAATAGGCAGCTACCTCAATCAATCAGGCTCCCCTCTCTGTGGCATGGTGATTGAACCAACCAGACTGGAAAGTTTCTGATGGACTGTGGAAGCCCACAAAGGGATGTATCAAAATTGGGACAGACATCGACAGCACATTTGAAGCTGTGCATTGTTGGATTGGAATTTGGGAACATAGGAACAGAATCGGGCCACTCAGCCCATTGAATCTGGAGCACAGTTCGATACGATCGCGGCTGATCTTGTACCTCAACACCATATCCCTGCTTTCTCTCTAAACCCCTTGATGCTCTTAATATATAAAAATATATCAACCTCTTCCTTGATCGTACTAAATGCTCCATTACTCACAGATCTCTGTGGTGGAGAATTCTACATGTTGACAATCTCTTCAGTGAACAAATAATTCCTCATCTCTGTCCAAGATGATCTGTCCCGTATTCTGAGACTGTGTCCCCTCGTTCTAGACTCCCCAACCAAGGGAAACATCTCTTAATCTGATATGCCTAGCCCTGTCAGAATTTCATACATTTCAATAAAATGTCTTTTCACAGTCTGAACTGTAGTAAATACAGGCCAAGTCGAACCAACCTCTCCTCATGGAACAGTCTTTCCATCCCAGTCCCAACGTAATGAACCTCTGCTGAACTTCCCATCAGTCATTGTGTCCTTTCTTCGACAGCAACATCAGAGCTGCAAACAATACTTCAAGTGTGGTCTCACCAAAGCCTTGCATCACAACATTCATACATCCTGATTTCTGTACTCAAAACCTTTTGCAATGGGTCAATGCACCATTTGCCTTCAAATTGTTTGTTACACCTGCCTGTCTACTTCCATTGATTCGTGAACAAGGTCATCTAAATCCCTTTCTACAACCACATTCCTCAAAACATCATAATTTATGCAATGCTCTGACTTTCTTTTTTTCAGTCTTAAGTGTAAAACTTCACTTTTATCCGCATTATTACTGCACCTGTCACGTGCTTACTCACTCACTCAAATATTCTTCATTGGCCTGAAGCCTTCTTACAACTCACAATAAAAGCTTAATTTGTTTCGTTGGCCAACTTGGAAATATTGTATTTGTTTCTGTCCTCTATGTTGTTAATAAATATGATGAAGAGATGGGGCACAAGCTATTACGTTAGTCAACGCCTGCCATCTGGAGAAAAGAGCTATTTCTTCTCATTGTCTGTGTCTGGTCTGACAGCCAATTTTCTATCCATGTCAATATATTACTATCCAATCCATGCAAATAAATTTGTCCACTAGGTTCTAATATGGAACTCTATCAAAAGCCTATTCATCCATTCAATCCACTGTTCCACTCTCCTCTATTCTGTAAGCTGTATCCTCAAAAACAATCTCCATACTGACTTTGTCTAACCCTTTTAATGCTTACCAAATGGGTATTTTTTTATATATATAAACCACATCCTCATGCCTTTCCCACCACTGATGTTAGGCCAAACAGTCTATAATTCTGAGTTTATTGTTTTCCCTGTCCCAATTTCCAGATAGTGGGGTTACATTTGCCACACTCCAATCTGTAGTAACTGCTCCAAAGTGTACAGAATTTTGGAAGGTGATCACTGGTATCCGTTGTTTTCAAGGCTACTTCCTTTAGCACTCTAGTGTTGGCATCATCAGCCCCTGGTGATCTGTCAATCTTTAACTCCATTAATTTCCCCAAAATCTTTTGTTTACTGAACTGAGTTTCTTCAATTCCACACTGTCACTAGACTATGGGCTCTACAACATTTCTGGGAGGTTATTTATGAAGAGAGAACCAAATGTTTACTTCTTCCAAATGTTTATTTCCTTTGTCCCCTCCCATTGCAATTTCCCCGTTTCTGATTTTAATGAATTCACATTTGCCGTCACTAAACTTTTCTTCACATATCCTCAGAAAATTTTAAAGTCAGTTTTTTCATATTCCCTGAACTCTCGTTCTTGCGTTACATTTTTCGTGTCTTGACCAATCTTTTTGTCTTCTTTTTCTGAATTCTGAATTGCTTCCAGAGCTCAGGTTTGTTTTTTGTTTTTTTCTAGCCGTTTTATCTATCTCCTCTTTGCATCTAATAGTATTCCTAACTTCTTTTGCAAGCCATAATTTTTTTTTAAACTTCAACATATGCTCTATTCGTAAAAAATCTTCATGTACATACGATGGCACAAGCCGTTTGGTTCTGTACAATAACATATGAAGTAACAAACATTGGAGTTCGACTCTATCCAGCAAACAAATCAAAGGTATTTCTTATTTGTACAAGATTATATGTACGTGCATTTGAAGAATCGGGATGGTCTGATAACTGTACGGACCCCCATTTAACTTCAGCACAAGGACCTTAGACATTGGTCTACCCTTATTCTGCCTTGGTAGCGGCTGACCAGGCTTTACTGCACCCCTGAGCATGTAGTCCTAAACCTTGGAACGTGCCAGTCGACAACACTAGCTCGAAGTTCAACACCTTGCTCTGGAAACCAATCAATCTTGGACATAGCAAACAGCGTCTTTCAGCGAGTTGTTGGTCCTCCAGGCATTGTCAATGTTTGCTTGGCATGCATCCCAGGGAACAGACCGCACAGGACAGAGTCCTGCATCACAGATCTGCACAGAATGAGCTTCGACAAAACAAAAACCATTGTAGCTTTCTCCAGACTTCCTTTGCACAGGCACATTCCAGCATGAGATGTCTGGCAGTCTCTACACTCACACAGCCACTTTGAGGGCAGCATGAGGTGGCACAAAGAGTCTGGGTGTGTGTGAAGGATCTCACAAGTAGTGCCCTTCTCACCACCTGCCAAGTAATATATCAGTGCTTGTTGGAAAGTTCTGGAGCTGATGCATTCTACCAAATGACGTTGACACTTTGCTGTTTTATTGCTGTGCCATGGATGAATGAGTAATTTTTACACTTCTTGTGTATATTTCTTACATATTAGCCAATGCCTATCCACTAACAACCCTTTTAGAAGGATTGCCCATCCGTCGTTGCCAACTTATGCATCAATTCCTCCTTGTTGTCTTTACTTAGATTCAGGAGCCTGGTTTCAGGTTTAATTTCTTCACTGTCCATCTGAATAGACAATTCTACCATTTTCTGATCACTTTTCCCAATGTATCCCACACAATAAGATTAATCAATCCTATATCATTGCAAATAACCAATCCAGACTATCCTGCTCTGCAGGTTCCTCCTCAACATGTTGGTCTAAAATGACATCACTTATAGACTTCAGGAAATTGTCCTCCATGGTATTATAGCCAGTTTAGTTTGTCCAACTGATGTGTAGATTAAAGTCAGCCATGATTGCAGCTCTATCCTGTATATATCCTGTTAAATGCCTTCCCGTATGTCTCCAATACTGTTTGGAGTCTTCTTGACAAACCCCATCAGTATTTACTGCTTCTTGGTATTTCGTAGCTCCACCCATACATTTTGTACTTATTTCAAGCGCATTGACAGAGGAGAAGAGGGAAAAAGGAGTCTGCTGGGCTCAGATAGTGCAAGAGGGACAGGTGAAGGTTGCAGGGACCAAGGTAGAAAGAAGTGAAGGCACTTTTTTAAAGTGGGGAAAGGCCTTGGAATTCTGAAGCAGAAAGTGTCTTCAGAGTCTCAGTTCAGTACCCTCTTAAGGTTAACGTGCAGCGTTCAGCTGGCATCAGGAAGGCACATGCAATGTTAGCATGTATTAAAAGAGGGCTAGGACATACTGCTGAAACTGTATAAGGTCTGGACAGGCTGTATTTGGAATATTGTGAGCAGTTGTGGAATCCATTTATACAGAAGAATGTGCTGGCTTTGGAGGAGGTCCAGAGAGGTTTACAAGAAGGAGCCCAGGGATAAAGTACTTGTCACATGAGGAGCTATTGACAACTCTGGGTCTGCACTGATTGGATTTAGAAGGATAAAGGGGGAATACTGGGAGGCCTGGATAGACTGGACATGGACAAGATGTTTCCAATGGTAGGAGAGACGAGGATCAGAAAACACAGCCTCAGAGAAGAAAAGGATAACACTTTATTGTTTACAATAAGTAAGAATTTCTTCAACCAGAGGGAGGTGAATCTGTGGATTCCATTGCCGGAGAAGGCTGTGGAATCCAAGTCACTGAGTCCACTTAAGACGGAGATAGATAGGTAAAAATCATAAAAGTGTGGATGCTGTGAATCAGAAACAAAAGCGGAGGTTGCTGGAAATGGTCAGCAACTCTGGCAGCACCTGCAGAGTGAAATCACAGTTAATGTTTTGGATCGAGTGACATTTCCTCCGGATGGTTCTAAGGAAGAGATAGATAGGTTCTTAATTGATAATAGGATAAAGGTTTATGGGAAGAAGGCAGAAGAATTGGGTTTTCAAACTTATCAACATATTAAGTTTTACTTTTTACCTTACTTGAGAATGGACGTACTGGCACTGGAATGGGTGGCTTATGAAGAGAGATTGAGTAGGCTGGGACTACACTCACTGGAATTTAGAAGAAATGGGGCCGGGGGTGTATGTTAAGGCAACATTTAAAATTATGAATGGAATAGATAAGATAGAAGCAGGCAAATTGTTTCCACTGGTATTTCCACCGGGGCATAGCCTCAGAGTAAGCGGAGCAGATTTAGGAGAAACTTTTTCATGAATGGATTGTGAATCTGTGGTATTCCCTGCCCAGTGAAGCAGCTGAGGCTACATTGTTGCATTTCTTTCAAGTCAAAGGTAAATAGATTTTTGAATGCTAAAGGAATTAAGGATTGTGGTGAGTGGGAA